GAAGTTCGCCCGGACGTTCCCCACGTAGCAGAAGCGCCTTGAGTTCTTTGGCGCTCCTTGAACGAGGAAGTTACTTCCACGGCCGAGCAATGAGTGCCCGTGGAAGCAGTCGTAGGAGAGGAAGAAGGGGTCTCTAAGTTGGCATTATTTGGGTCATATGGAGGCCTAGGGTTCACCAGAATTCCGTCTGGATTTCTGGCCGCATAAAGATCATGCGTCTGCCTTATCCGTGCCATGTTCGACTATAGGGACAGAGAAGAATGGGTGGATGTGAGTTGATATGCACTAGAAATGGACCCACTCCATGAAGGAGACAACTCATCTCCGTCCACTCTAGACTCCTCAGTCCCAGGCGAACGGCCGGCCTCATGAGGAGAAACGGACGAAGCCGAGTGTTGAGCTAGATTTTAAATGAACAAAGAAATAAAAATGCAAAGAAAAGAAAGCAGGCGGCCTACCTCTGTACGTGTTGAAAACTTGGAAGCCTTGAAAGTTGATCAGAAAACTCAACAAAAGTGCCCGGAAAACTCAAACGCACGACGGAGCTCTCGAAGATTCAAAGAAAAAACTCACTTTCTCTCTCTAGAAGCTCTGACTTCTCTCTAGAGAATGTAAAGTTCCAAAGTGCCAAAATGAGGTCAAACCTCTTGTATATATATGCAAAATTTATGGGGGTAAGATAGTAAATTCATCTTTCCCGCCTAAACAAAGCTAAATGGTTATAATTTGAAAATGAGACCTACAATTTGGAGGGACAAGGAACAACTCCGTTAAATTAAGCGGAAAAGATGACGACCTAATAAACGGCGCGTCCAAAGGGAAGTTAGCAGAGCTAAAGCTCCCTTCGCAATGGCAAGACGGTCGCATCTCCTAAAAGCGAGACAACCTACTTTCGTCCGCGCCCTCTGTATAGATAGACGTTCCGTCTAAAGTTGTCAGGCGGACAGAAAACTGATAAAACCCTAATACACCTGTACGCACCAAGGCTATTTAAGATCAGAGGAGTCGGCCTGTAAGCGTACGAGCCACCCCCTCTGAGGGGAAAATGTTGAGGGTAAAAATACCTCGTATGTGTGGACCAATCCCACAGTGACACGTGGCCCAGTTATAGGGTGACACGTGTCACCATGGGAAGATGCCATGCAATTCAGAGCCATTAAGGTCTCAGGCCAATCTCGTAGCGACATGTGGCCCAGTTAAAGGGTGACACGTGTCATCATGAGAAGATGCCATGTGTTTAGGGCATGTGTTCCCTCTTTAATCAGCACACCAAAAAGCCCTAGCAACGTCAGGGCCCAAATCCCGAGAGATACCAATGAAAGCCGTAAAACGGCGCCCCCAGGGCAACACGTGGCATTCACTGATTGCGCAGCCAATCACGCCACGCCAATCTAAGGTACAAACCCTAAAAAGGGGCACGAGCCCCACCCCTATAAATACCCCAATCATTTATGATGGGAGGGGGATTTTTTCAAGACATTGATATACACAACAGAGCATTAAATAGCTCCAACTTCTCTCTACATTTTCTCTCTCTAGCCTTTTCCGTTCTGATCACTAACTTGATCGTCGGAGGCGAATATTCCATTTACCGGAATATTCGTTATTTTGCAGGTGGGACCATCTCGTTGCCTGGAGAGCGTGACCAGTATCCGAGGAAACCCAAAAAAACCCGAAACAAGAATACTATTGCAGGGAACAAACAGTAGCATAAATCATCAGCACAGAAAAACAACAGGTGTGAGATAAAGCCAAAGTGAACCAAAGAAGCAAGGGGGAGACAAAAGAAGCGCATCAGACATAAGAATATTCCCCCAAGCTAAAAATGAGCTACCCCTCCCCTAAGCTAAAACCAAGCTACAAGCTGGCAAAGAAACAAAATATATGCACCCAAGCATAAAAGGGAGGGTAGCTAATATGGTATCACTCGGCACTATGGTAAGGGGTAGAATGAGCACTCCCCTCACCAACATCACTAGAAACCGGGCTAGAAACATCATCCATGAGCATAGGGCCCTTACCCTTCAACCTCCTTGCCTTCTCGGCTCTATCCCTAGCAAAGAAGTGAGACCAATCATCAAGGACCGGCTCGCCCGATAACTTACAACGGCCAAAAGTCTCTGGAGAAGGAAAAGGGTTAGGGTTTGCCAGATCGTAAGTAAATCACATCCTCTCGGCCTCTTATAATCTTAAGAGGTCAAGGAGGTCCCCCTAATAGCATAAGGAGGTAGATTAGGCCCCTCCAAATAAGGATAACACAACCTAGGGCTGACGGTCTCATTAAAAGGCTCCCACTAAGGTATGGGTCCGTGTTAGACCGGTAGGTACGGATAGTTAAGATATGGTTGGATATCCCCCCTTCATGACATGAAAATCATATACTTGCCTAGCATGAAAGCCATAACCTAATACAAAATGGTACCCCAAAGGTGAACAATTTAGAACATTTGCTATGGAATCAGTTTTCGCATGAAAAACAGACAAGGCAATAGTGGAAATAGTAGAAGAAGAGGGAGGAGTCGAGGATGTACCTCCCAGGGAAGATTTACCTCCCCGGGATGAAGAGGGAGCAAGAGGAAGAAAAGTATTATGCCGGAGGTTAGGCAACAGAGCTTTCTTGAGGGCTTGATGAATCGACACCTTGTTAGGTCTCCATGCAAGAGGGGTGTTCACACATCTAACCATAGCCTCGGGGTGAGGGATGGGGCACCAATCCGTAGTCCTTGTAAACTTCCAAATGTACAAGTTTGCTTTGGTGGTGTGCTCCAAAAAACATTGATTAATCATGGCATAGATGCTTAAGAAATGGTAAGGAGCTTTCTCCCTTTTATCATGGGTTGGGACAAGCGACTCGACCATTGCTTCAAACTTCTTGTTGAGAGAATGGATCAAAATGGTAATCGTACCCCCTAATTAGATACTTTCGGAGAGATGGACACCATCTCTTAAATCAATGAAACGGTCGAGCAAATACGAAGTGAAGTCGATGACCGCTACCCCCTCTTCAAATGGCTTATTTGCTAGCGATAACTAACTCAACTCCTCTCGACAAATAGCACCAAGAGATTCCTTGGAGAAGAAAGCCTATGTAAGGAGTCGGCTAAAATACCTCAAGGCCGCATGAATAATTGACGACACCTTAGAATATTGAGGACTATATGAGTCCTCGATAGAAATATGCCTCCACCACTTGAATTCACTATAATTTTTATCATGTTACACAACATCAAATACCGAATACACAAGTGGGAAATCCTCACTAAGAGTTGGAAACTTTAAAACCTCATTAAGATAGGAAAGAGGCACCGTATGATCATTGATGAAAACTTGAAAAGAAATTCTTCAAGAAGTTTCACCTTCCAAATCCTCCTCAAGGATTTCAAGTGAAGAGAGGAATTCGAAATTAATCCGAGAGTGAGTGTGGGCAAGAAGTCTTAATAATTCCTCTAACCCCAAGTTTCGAGCCAAAAATCTCACATCATCGTCGATACCCAACGAAGTAGTCGCCGACGAATCATAGAGTCCAGTAAAAAAAGGTATCCGAGTTGAAAGCTTGGCAAATCTCTCCCAATGCTCTTTCTTTGTGATCTCAATTTCCATAAGTCTCTAAAATGTGGGAAGGAGGAGGAACCACCTCCCTATAGGTAGAGCATCTAGCCCTCTTAGCTCGACATTTTGCAGGGACTTATAGGAACCACCTCCCTATAGGAACCACCTCCTTATAGGAACCACCTCAATCTAGACGCTTTTGTGATCTAATGAGTAAGGACCATGAGTCACAAGTATGCATCATGAGCAACAACACTCTAAACCATCATCAAAAACAAACTATCACTACTACAAAAAGCGTGTTTTCTGGACGCTTTTTAGGCCTTTTTTCGACGCTAAAAAGAGTCAAAAATTATTTCTCGACGCTGCAAAAAAGCGTCGAAAATCCGTGAGTCGAAAATTTTTCAGGGACGCTGCAAGAAATGCAAGATTCTCGACGCTTTTTAGTGTCCAAACTAATATACGAAGCGTCGAAAATTATGTATTTCGCGCATCATCCCAAAAGTATGTAGATTTTTAGCGACGCTTTTTCCTGTCCACATAATCAAATTTAGCGACGTTTTTTGTTGTCTTGCGTTTATTCGTGTCAGCCTATGGTATGGCGCCAAAGTCTTTGAAATTTGAAAATGTGCAATTATGTAGACATTAAAAAGCGTCTAGATTTATTTTACAAGCTTTTTTGTTCTTTTATTAAATTATTATTATCATACATACATTATTATTATTTAAATTTATCATAAATTAAATTAAATTAATAACATTAAAATAAAAATAAACAAATATTCTATATAACTAGATTAAAAAAAACAATAATTAATCAACAATAATAAGAGTACGTAGTTAATTACCAAATTTAGAAAAGAAAACATAAACACAGTACAATCATTAAAATAAAAAAAAGTCGCATATTATAGTATGTAGCTTGTCCCTAAATAAGTACATCACTAATATAAGACTAAAAACCAAAATAGATAGATGAAGGCCACATTGATCGATATAGTCGCTTGTTGATGCTCAAGTGTCCCGACCTATTCTTTTGTTGCACCTACATATCACTACTACAAAAAGCGTGCTTTTTAGACGCTTTTTAGCCGTTTTTCGACACATAAAAGCTTCGCAAAAAAATTTCCCGACACTTCTTAAAAGCGTCGAAAAATCGTGAGTCGAAAATTTTACTAGACACCAAAAGGCGTCCCGAATTTCAACGCTTTATTGTGTCCAAATTTTTATACGAACCGTCGCAATTTGCCACAATTCGCGCACTTTCTTAACTTTGGCGACGCTTTTTCACGTCAAGAATCTTAAAATTGGTGACGCTTTTCTATGTCCAAATTTCATACATTTGCTATTTAACATTTTGGCAACGCTTTTTCCTGACCATATTTTTTAATTTGGGGACGCTTTTTCTTGTGCATTTTTTTTTAAAATGTCTAGAATACCAAAAAACAAAATATTTCATTCACTAATAATTATTGCTAATATACAAATATTACAAAAAAAAAAAAATACAAGTACAACAAATTTATGCCAAAATTTTTTATTACATATAAATAAATTATAGCATATGTACAATATCTCATAGTAATGGGTTTTCTATTACAACTAGTACAATTCCAACTCCCCTAAAAAAAAAAGTAAAGTACAATTCCAACTTTAAATAGCTTAAATATATCTTTCTTTCATCCTTGAAATATTGCAGCATTAGTTGTCAACCCTTTTTTGCCGTTTCTCAGTACTCATACATTTATGTCTACATAATCTTTTGACCCTGCAACACATTTCAGCATAAGCATCGATTAATACATCAACAAGATACTAGGGAGCCATCTGCCAAAAAATACAGAGAATACAATCTCTGAAAAATATTTTCCACCTAAAAATTTAAGCAAACCAAAATCACAACCAACTTTCATAACAATTTCTGGAATAAAAAACTTTCAAAAAGTAAGGGTTTCCATACACTCAAAAGAAAAGACATTCATTTGGATGTGTGACTGCACGTAGTAGTGGACCTATAGAATGAAATGTGATGCAAATAAGAAATAATTATAGTATTATATACAAGAGTAACAAAGTATAGAAGTTAAAAGCAGAGAGATCCTTTTAAGCCAAGCAATATGTTTTGAACAATCACAACATTACACCTTTTTTGGCCAAACAGACAAGATTTTTCCCTAGCATTCCAAGCAGCATGCCATGGCAAGAAACAAAGAACCTATCTAGGAATACCTAATCTTACAATCAATCATCAGTAATTTAGAACAGTTTAGTGAAGCTACAAAAAAGAAAACTGCCGGACTGCCCGTAGAACATCTTGTGTTTCTAATCTCAGTGACTAATAACTCAGTTCAACTATATCAATGACTCTACCAGGGAAAACAGAGTTTATCCAGAACATTAAAATAGCCAAAGTCCCAAACCATGAAGCATTAATCATCCACGAAATTAAATCAGTCTAATGAAGCTGCACACAAGACAATAGCCCATGGAACATCTTGATCGCAGTTCAATTATTTAATTAAGTGTCAAAATTCGATTCTTTTTTTAATTTTATTTTTCTTTGCAATTATTGTAATGCAATAATTGACACTGCAAGAAAAAAGATACATATAAAGCAACTCAATCCCCTAATTATCATTCAACACACTTTCTAAATGGTAAAAAGGGCCAAAAAGTGATTAACTTACGGATGCTTTGCCATATGTACTATGCCCCACACCGACAACAATAACAGGCATACCCTGATAAACACATAAACCACCTTCATCAGTTGAAATAATACAATTGCAATTATGTATTGAGCAGTACCAGAAGCCAAATGCACTCAGAGGATATAGATGAAGGTAGTTTACCTCTTTTGAGGTGCCTGAAAGTCGTACTGTCTACCTTACCAAGATCAACCTACAATCAGACTCAAGAATGAGCTTGTTAAAGCCCGAGTCAATAGCAATAACAACCAAGTGTCTAGTAGCCATGGCTTCAGCAACATCAACCCCCATCTCGCCTTGGATCTTCAAGCAAGTAGCAACCAGCACGTCGCCATTACCGTCACGCACAGCTCCTCCAAGCCCCGTAACTCCATCACCACAGCAGGAGGCATCAGAATTCAGCTTGAAAAGACCCACAGAAGGAGCAGCCCACTTGTGACGAACACAAGGGAAATTAAGCTAAACTAAAAAATTAATGAAAAAAACCTTTACCTTAGGCTGAGAAAATTTAAAAAATCCAAACAAACAAGCCATATAAATCGCCATAAAACAAACAAACGACCCATTTAAAAGTAAGATTAATTAATTACAAGCCGAGAAACAAAAATTATAAAATACGAAAATTGTATCAATGAATTAAAAATACAGAAATTGTAGTAGTGAATTGAAAGTAAGACTAATTAAATACAAGCCGGGAAACAAAATTAAACAAAGTAGTCTAACTAAAAATGAGACATGAAAAACTCAAAATCATACTACATACTATGTATAAGATAGAAACACCATTGCACGACAAGAATATGGTTTGGAAAAAAGTTATAAGGTTCTATATAGTGAAACTAAATAAATAAATTGAGATTGAAATTGAGAAAGAGAAACAAGAAAATATCCACATGGTCATAATCAAAGGAAAAGAAGTGATTTGGATCCTAATCATATATCCTAGCAACTAGGTTAAATCCACCCGTACTTTTTTCAAATGGTTTAGCGTTGAATTAAGCTTGGTATCTGAACAACCATTCAACCATAATGGTGAGGCTTCATTCCTCATATTACACATGCATCCTAATTGTACATCAAAATGAAGTACATAACAAGTCAGCAAAAACATATCACTTTCATCACCGTTAATCCAAAAATGACCATACATAGGCAATAAGATTGCAAAAAGAAGATATAAAAATCTCAAACAATATAAGAATGCAATAATTAGCTTTTGTTTGATAATCAATTTTAACTCATGAAAATCTGAGAAAAAGAAGCTCGTCTAAATCAAGACTGACAAAATTTTAGACATAATTAGCTTGCAAGCCCAAGGCAGCAATATGAGTTGATTTGCAATAGATCATACAATTTTTAATTTATAAAAAAAAAACCCATAATCATAATAACCCATTTGATAATAACCACAATCATAGCAGCCTAAGAGACTGAATCACGATTGGGATTTTGTCGAATAACAAAATTACCCACTCCCAATTTCCCCCCTTTAGCATACCCTAATACAATAGTGTTTCAAGAAAACATATTTTTTTACAGGCATTTCATTAAACAGTTGGTGGGCAACTGCTGTTAACTCGCATTTAAGATACACATTAAGGAGATTATTTGCAAGCTACTCCGTAGTTTGAAGTAAAGTAGCATAGTAATTAGAGGAGAGGTAAGAGAATGTGGAGCTGAACTCATGGTTAGAGTTAATCCCAAGAGGTTTAGAGAAACCAACACATACCTGAAATCTGTAGACGTTGAGCAAATTGGGATTAGTCGTCACAGATTTAAAACATCGAGCACGGCGAATTGCAAGCCTAAACACAATTTCAAGAAAAAAAATCCCCAAATGGATTATGCTCAAATACTAAGATAAATCTTAATGAATAACATTAAAATTACCCGAAAAATGCTATCAACATAAAAATTTAACTAATCACCTGATTCAATTCGTGATCTTCAATTAGGAATCTTCTACAGCTCCAAAATTTTGACACAAAAAAAATAAAATCAATATCCCAATTAAATTTCAATGAAAAAAGAAACGAAATTTTGATGAGATGGAAAAGAAACAAATATCCCAATATAATTAATAAAATCGATGGAAAAGTAGGGAAATTTCAACAATTCGAAGCCGAATTCGATGAATCTATTGCGGTTTTTGGAGATGAGATTATGGAGGACGAAACTAATTAGGGTTGGCTGACAAGTGGTGTTGAGATTTTTCAAAACTTCAGTTTATACGGGTTGCCCGTCAGGTCACGTGCTTGGCAAGCGGAACTCTCGACGCTTTTACCTGTCGAAATATTATTTCGACAAATAAAAGCGTCGACCAAACACGGGATAAAAATTTTGGTGTTGACGGCTTGGGCACAGCGTCGAACATAAAGCGTCGAAAACACAAGGAATTTGTAGTAGTGTTGCCTTTTCTAATCTTCAAAAAAAAAATACAAAGTATACATTAGTACATTACACAATATAGGCTCAAGATTCAACATGTTGTATTTAAATATAGAATTGTGAGTTAAACATAAAAATATAAATGAACAAAAAAAGCCAAAAGGTCTTTCATCAAGAGTTCTTGACTAGATCAGTATTGCGGACAAATCCAAAGCTTAACTGAACGAATCATGGATCAAGTAATACAAAAGATGGCACGGAATTCTATAAGCACTACCTTCAGTTTCATCCAGGAGTATACAAAACAGTAATTGTCAACACATATTGTTAAAGAAAGAATGGATCTAATTTACAAAGACAATACACGAAAACAAGCAGAATAGCCCCATATTCAATACTACTTTGCTATCCAGATAAATTTAAGGTTTCTGATGTTAATTCTTGCTTTGTTCCGAGAGGTTTAAGATGACTATGCCTGTCTACTGTCTCATTGTTATTTCTACCTTAAGTTTAAGCTGCATGGTCAGTGCCCTGGTAGCATTAGTATGGAGCTTTAGTAGACGTAATTGTATGAAGTTGAGACCATTTTCTGTTGCTTGTCAATCCTAGGTGCTAGGTTTGCATAAACTTATTTAGTTATGGAGCTGACATCCATGCTGAAATCCTTGCAGATTGAAAATGCGCCATCAGATAGCCATTTACAAAGCATTCTCAGCATGCTCCATCAGTTAGAGCCATTTACAAAGCATGCTCCATCAGTTAGAGTTCCTCACATTCTCAGCCAGCAGGTAATTCTTACAACAGAAAATACAAAGTTATTCATGGTTTTTATGCTTCTACTACTGGTGCTTAGTTCTTTTCTAGTCACCATTGTTTATCTTGGGTGAGCTTACTTACTAAACTAATTTGAAGTGAAACCAAAACTTGCATATTTCTTTTCCTTTGTCAAGCTGTCATGAACTTCAAATGTTCTCCAATACACATCTAGTCTTTGTTTTCTAAACTATTTGCTTCTATCCTTGCCTCAGCACAAGCAGCTTATTTAGGTTGTAACGTTATCCAAAGCTTAGGCAGGGGAGCAGGACACACACACACACACACACACACACACACCACAAGCGAGAAAGCACTCACACAAGCTCGGACTTTCACACACAAACACACAAGCTTTGAATTTCACACACACACAAGCATTTTAGGATTGAAGTTGCAATTTCAAGTCTTATTTCCAGTACTGAACTACAGATCTGAATTTCAGTTCTGATTTCAATTCTAGAATTCATTTATGATGTTCAGAGCTGAAATCAATACTGAAATCTAGAACTGAATTCAGATTCGAATTTCAGTTCTGATTTCAGTTCTAGAATTCATTTCCGATGTTTAGAGCTGAAATCAAAACTGAAATCCAGAACTTATTTCAGATTTGAATTTTAGTTCTAATTTCAGTTATAGAATTAGCATGTACTGAATCAAAAAAGAAAGCAAGCTACACATATCATATGTGTGTCTCAAAATCTGATCTCATGATGTAGTAAGGAAAAATAAAAAAAATAAAAACTAAACAAACATGACATTGTTACCTGATGTTTTGTCTTTCCTAAGAATGCAGTAAGGAAAAATAAAATAAAAAATAAAAAATAAAAACAAAAAAAAAATAAGAACTGATTTCAGATTTGAATTTCAGCTCTGATTTCAGTTATAAAGAGAAATGTGACTTTGTTACCTGATGTTTTGCCTTTCCTAAGAATTCAGATGCTTTGTTTAGAACACCCGGAGATGCATTTCCTTCACGAACTGCACCTACAATCTGAGAAAATTGTCCAACAAGCGCTTTAAGAAGAAGCTCATTTTTTTTCCATGTTCATTTTCCTATAAATAATAAGGCAAAACAAGCATTAAATATGTGTACAGTAGTATATAACGCATATAACTTGGCTTTGCTCTTACTAATATCTTAAGTAAATATAAAATGACATATATATTCCATACATAATCAGCTTGTTGGTTTGCAAAACTTTTAGCGCCAGATGTATGAATCTGATTTTGAAAAGCTCGTGCCTTTTTACCGCATGCTGACATAGTCTGCAATCACATTTTCAGTTTTTTTAGTTAGAGATTAAATAACGTTTAATAGAGTAAACAATAAGGTAAATATTGTCCTTACTTTCCCGTAATCCGAATCCCAATATTTTACCAACTTAACCCAGTTACTACTAGTAATTCCATGTGGCACATTATTACACATATCATCCAATTTCTTCTCTAGTGGCTTGTAATGAATCAGTTTCAGAGAATATTTGAACTGCCTCCAACATTTATTGGCACACTTGAGAGCTTGGTTGTCATATTCCACACCTGGAGGAATCACAAAACGGTCCTTCAATAAAAATAATTAGTTAAAAATATAAATCAGTAAGTAATCTATTAGAAGTAATAGACCGTCTAAGTATGTGTGTTTAGGCAATGACAAGGGATGTCTTAGGGATGAATATACTTACTCTTATGTCTTTAATTATTTTCCCTTTAAAATTCTTGTCGATTGCTTTCCAATCTTTTTGCCCAACTGGACAATGTGACTCCATCTTCGCAATCATACTAATGAATTTAACCAAAATATGTTCACCCTTCCTAATTGGCTGGCATAAATCATTGAATTCGACATAGTACTGGACGCCGTTATTACTCCATACGTCAATTGGCAGAATAATACCACTTACTAATGTAGTATTACCCTTGGCATCTAAATAAAATAACAAAATTAAGTTAAAAGAAATAATCAGTTAAGTAGACAATATGTTCTAACAGAGAAGCAGATAAATTTTTTTTTTAGAAAAAATCTACAAAATAACCCTACACTGTAGCCAATGAATTTTGCAAATACACACACACAAGCTGCAATTCAGTTCTGATGTTCAGAGCTGAATTCAAAACTGAATTCCATAACTGAATTCAGATTTGAATTTCAGTTCTAGAATTCATTTCCGATGTTTAGAGATGAAATCAAAACTGAATTCCAGAACTGAATTCAGATTTGAATTTTAGTTCTGATTTCAGTTATAGAATTAGCATGTACTGAATCAAAAAAGTAAGCATGCTACACATATCATATGTGTGTCTCAAAATCTGATCTCATGATGCAGTAAGGAAAAATAAAATAAAAAAAATAAAAAATAAAAAACCAAACAAACATGACATTAGCACAGAACGCATATCATAGAGACTCAATTCAAATGTCAATTAGCATGTACCTCAACATAATAAGCATAATTTACTTGAAAAATTAATTATGCAGCTCAATACAAGTTTCAAGATATAAACAATTTCATATATCCAAATTTAGAACAAGTTTGACAATGATATTTAAAATACATATGCATGTGTAACACGTATAACATAAGCTAACCTCCACCCCCTCCCCCCACCCCCTCCCCCCACAATAACAAGCAGCAGCAACAGGGCAGGATCACATCACAACAACAACAAGCATCAGCAGAAAACTTTAATAGAAAACATTTACCTATGGTTAGAACCTCCTCCTTGTCGTCAAAATCAATGTCTACAGGCCAATCCGGAAGTGCTTTTGGTCGTAAGGACTTAGATTGTTTCGGGATCTCTTCTTATTCGTTTCCACTTTTTTTACTTTCATGATTATCCTGTGGAGCTGTAGCTGAAGTTTTCACAGCACCTGTTTCACGGTTCCGGATTCCTCGTGTAGCAGGTTTTGGGCGCTCAGGAGGTTTGTGAGAAGTAGAAGGGGAGTTCAATGAGTCTGGTGCAATTGAATGTGGAATATTAGGTGGGACTAAAGATGAAACTTCTGGTGGGTATATTTTTTGCTGACCTTGCGTAACTGCTTCCTTAACTGAATTTAATGTTGAACCAGGAGGGTTTTTCCAAATGGATCCTAAATTATTAGGTGGTGGGTGGTCACATTTTGTAGTGGAAATGGGTGGAGAAAAAGGTCCCCATATGTCATCCCTAAGAACCTCAGTTTATGGTGACTTTCTAGCTTGTTTTTTGGTGGGTTGTGAAGCTTCAGCAGCAGAAGAAGTATGTGAATTAGAGATAATTGGTGACTGTGATGATACTAGATCATGTGACTTGGCTATGGCAGCAAGTATGTCCCTTGCTCTCTTGCTTCGGTACATTATACTCTACCTGATAAATTCGCAAAATAAGTTATTAAAAAGAACAGAAATAAAAAATTATCATAAGCGTGACAATCATATTAGTCATCAGAAGATTCAAAACCAAATTAAGAAACCATGAAATAAGAAAAATAAATGAGCAACATAGTAGAGTTGAAATAAGAAACAAGTATTGAATATAGTAAGCACAGTTAAGAAGCCCAACAGTGAGTTAAATGCAGAAAAGCCTCTTTAAGAAACAAGAACAACAACACTTATTCTTAGGAAACCATAAAGCACAAAAGAAGCAATCATCTTCAGCAAAAGGTTCCAAGTAGTCACTGCAATCAAGTTTTCTAGCACATCTAGGCTTCTAGAACACACCATAATCCATATGTTTAATATAAAGCACCAGCAAGTATATATAAAATGCATGAAGACAGGTAAACACATCAAGTAAGATTAATAAAGTTTTCCCACACATTTTATAGTCATCATCCATTTTTAGAAAAATATGTTTAAATTGAAACTTCACATGAAATGATACATTAAGTGGACAATATGTTCTAATAGAGAAGCAGATAAAGTTTTTTTTTTTATAAAAACATTACAAAATAACCCATCACTGTAGCCAATGAATTTTGCAAATACACACACACAAGCTGCAATTCAGTTCTGATGTTCAGAGCTGAATTCAAAACTGAATTCCAAAATTGAATTCAGATTTGAATTTCAGTTCTGATTTCAGTTCTAGAATTCATTTATGATGTTTAGAGCTGAAATTAAAACTGAAATCCAAAATCGAATTCAGATTTGAATTTCAGTTCTGATTTCAGTTCTAGAATTCATTTCTGATGTTTAGAGCTGAAATCAAAACTGAAATCCACAACTGAATTCAGATTTGAATTTCTGTTATAGAATTCATTTCTGATGTTCAGAGCTGCAATCAAAAATCCAGAACTGAATTCAGATTTGAATTTCAATTCTGATTTCAGTTATAGAATTTAGTTAACAGAAACAGAAATTAAGTTGACAAAATACAAACTTTGATGAATTAGAATAACTAAATGAAATATAAAAATGCACACCCATCCAAATTTATGAACTCAAATCTATAATAAATTATAAAAGTTGTAAACAAATTATTCAGGTATATCAAACAAGTCCCTAGGCTTAGTTTTCACAACATGACTCCACCCTTCTTGTATCTCATCCTCAATATAAAAAACTTGTTTTGCTTGAGATCAGAAAACAAATGGATCATCACGCAAAAATCACCAGTGCGCATCAACTTTGAGAAATTGATACGAACACTTCCATTCAGATTTGTTTTGATACCCCTACGGATATCGACCCAATCACAAAAAAAAACAATACAACCTTATAAGAACCATAATAATCTAATTCCAAAATTTCGTTGAGTTTTCCATAATATTCGTGACCCTCTGCTTCCACCATGATTCCTGAATTCTGAGTTACTCGAAATCGCTCACGATCCACAATATCAAATTTGTAACCATTGATAATAACACTTTTCATCCTTTTCCCGCGGTTACTCAAGCCACCGACTAAGGTTTTTCTTAACTTTCCATCTACTGTGCTATCATCTAAATTATGGACCTATAATTCGAGAATAATAAAGTTAGAATTAGAAAGTTGTATAATATGAAAATAAAAAGACCCTAAATGTAAAAGCATATGACCTGGCTTTGCAACCAATTTGCAAATTCATCAATTATCCACCGATTTTCAATAGATTCATCAACTTGACTTCCTCCAACGTCATTCTCTAGCCTCTTTAGTTTTAGGAACTCACTATCGAGATTATAAATTTTATGTTAGTAACAAGTATATATTGGACGCTTTAACTAAACACATAATGCTACTTACTTGAGCACCGGGGTCAGTTCATCAGAATGAAGTAAAACATAGCGATGAGCTTGCTTTAAACTTCTATCATCCAAACGAACATTTTCTTTTTTTCCAACAACACGACCACCAGAGTTATACAAATAGTTGTCAATGTTTGATACACCATCCTCATTCCTTCTAGGTCTATTGAACATAGTCTTAACACTTTCTAAATATCTCGAACAAAATGCAATTGTCTCCCACAAAAGGTAACCTTCCACTATAGATCCTTCCGGTTGCGCTTTATTGCTTACATGAGATTTCAAAAAGGCCAAGTACCTTGAATTATAGTAACGATTTTGTATGTGAATATGAAAGAATAGGAAAAATTATTATATAAAAATAAATAATACAAATAAAAAGAATAATAATAATAATAATAATAACAATAATAATAATAATAATAATAGTAAAAATAATAATACGTACCTTTCAATAGGATACATCCATCTATAATGAACCGGTCCGCCTAGTCTGACCTCTTCTACTAAATGAATTAGTAGATGAACCATGATTGTAAAAAATGTTGGTAAAAACTCTTTTTCAAAATTGCAATGCAAAGAGTCACCACGAGCTTTGATTGAATGGTATCTAATTCTCTTGTATCTATAGCAGTTGAACATATCTTTTTAAAAAAGTCAGACAACTCCTCAAGCAAGTCAATAACTCTTGTGGCATTCGACGCCCTTAAAGCAACCGGGAGGATATCTTACATGAGAATATGATGGTCGTGACTTTTCATATTAATAAGTTTCTGTTGCTTTAGATTCACACATCTTTGCAAATTAGATCCATATCCATCAGGAACTTTCATCTTTTTCAAGACTTTCAAAAATCGTTCTTTCTCCTCGTTAGACATGGTGTATGCAGCCTGCGGGATGTAACCTTGAGGGTCGATCCATAGATGAGTTTTTATATTCAAATTCTTTAGGGCTTCTCTGCCACTCTCATCATCCCTACTATTATCCATATCTAAAAGAGTTCCTAATAAAATATCGGACACATTCTTTTCAATGTGCATAACATCTAAATTATGTCTAAGAGGATTATGCTCCCAATACTCTAATTCAAAAAAATGTACTTTTCTTTTTCCAAAGAATATGATCACCATCGGGATCGCAATCATCATCAAGTTCATTGGCAGCTTTTTTCTCTCTTTTTTTAGGAACTTTTTTTGTCTTCCCATATACATACTTTACCCCTTCTTGTTGCTTCAAAACATCGGTCCCGCTGGTACGAATCAAAGCAATACCATATTCTTCTTTCCCATTTAAAAAATTAGCTTGTGAACGATATGGGTGATCAATAGGCAACCATTTTCGATACCCAGTGTAGATAATTTTGCCACCAAATCTATCTGAATGAGTAGAATGAGTGCAAGAAGGACAAGCTTTGTAGCCTTTCGTACTCTAACCTGACAGCATAGCATAAGCCGGAAAGTCATTAAAAGTAGAATGTAGGGCTGCTCGCAGTTTGAAGTTGCTTTCACTATAAGAATCAAAAGCATCAACACCTTCCCACAATAATTTCAATTCATGGATTAGTGGTTGCAAGTACACATCAATATCCATACCGGGACCAAATTTACCAAGAATAATTATAGAAAGAATAAAGGATGATGGTTTCATACAAAGCCATGGTGGTAAATTATAAGGAATGAGGTCCACCGGCCATGTACTATAATTTGTGTTCATAAGACGATATGGATTAAAACCATCACTCGCTAGGCCTAATCTAACACTACGAGGATCAGTGGCAAACTCTGTATATTTTTCATCAAATTTTTTCTAGGCCTCACCATCAGCAGGTTGTCGTAGAATCTTATCATCCTTACGATTAAAGTGCCATCTCATGTCCTCTGCAGTTTTAGATGACATGAAAAGCCTCTAGGGATAAGGGGAAAGTACCGCATTACTTTAGCTGCCTCGCCTTTCTTACATGCTTCTTTTCCTTTTTCATTTACATCACCCTCATTTCCTTTCACATTTTTCCACCTTGATGTCTTGAATATATGACACTCACTTTTATTTGCGAATTTGCCCCAATATAACATGCAATCATTTGGACATGCATGGATTTTCTCATATCCTAACCCTAAATCATTTATTATCTTCATGCCTTCATAATAGGACAATGGAAACTCCTTAATAATGGGAAATGCGTCGATTAGAAGTTCAAGTAATTTATTAAATGACTCTGCAGACCAATGGAACATACACTTTAGGTGAAATAAATGCAATAGAAATGAAAGTTTCGAAAAAGTAGTACACCCCTCGTATAGGCCTTTTTCAAAAGCTTCCATGAGATTTTTATACTTTGCATGTTCTTCATTTGAGAAAGTTGATTGATACTCATCATCTACCTCGCGATAAATGGTAAACCCCTCATCCATGTCATATGAATTGTCATCTTCAATACTTTGTTCATTAAATGATGGATCTTGAGTTTTGCTGGTTTGTCGTGTATTAACTCTAAAAGCTGCTCTTAGTAATCCGTCCATATCATCTCGACCAACTGCATTTACTTGATCATCACTTAGATCATCGGTTTTACTCCCTTAATCTTTACAATGAAATACCCAATTTATATAGTTTTTATAAAAACCATAAAATAAAATATGGCCATATGTTTCAATCAACCTTAGGTATTTGGAGCGTGCACTCCCTTACTTGTTTAGAAAGATTTGCATTCATTGTGCTTGTACATTTGCAAAAGTCCTTTCATGAACATTTGTTTGCTTTTCTTGTATTTTGCTTTCTTTTTCATGCTTTGCCTTGTTTGTATTATTATGAGAGTTATGGGTAAACTCTTAGGATACCCTTACGAGAGCATCACTCGTCCTCTAGGGCGATCTAGGGGTTTAAATGGCTTGTCTTTAGTTGCTAAAATTGACCGTGATTCCTACGAAAGTGAGTTAGTGTATATTCCCATCTTCTCTAGTTTTCTCGTTTCTTTCTTTTCTTGAATAATGTCATCATTTTCCCTTGGGTAGGATTTTGTTTTGCTCGAGGACGAGCAAAAGTTTAACTTGGGGGAATTTGATCCGTGCCATTTATGGCACCTTTAGGCTATGTTTTCTTTATATTTCTATGCTCCTTTGTAGTCGTTTATGTCGTTTTTTAGAGAACAATGCTCGATTCGCGTGTTTTTGTGGTAGTTTAGAGAAATGCATGCTTTTAATGGCTTTCTTATCATTTTATTCATTTCTCTGCTATTTCTCTTGCTTCTCCGTTTCTTTGTCTTGTTTTGTAGGTACGTCGCGGGCTATATGCATGGGAATTGAAAATAGCACCCACTAGGATCAATATGCACTTTTCGGAATTGAATTTGAGTTTGAAACAAAGGAAAACAAAGGATTGCAAAGTATCAAATAGGACCTTTGTGCATTGTTTTAGTCATATCTCAAGTTCTACAGATCGGATTAGGGTGATTAAAGTTGGGTTGGAAACTAGACTTTAAGAGCTTTCCAATGATAGATCGCACGCCTTCATAAAATTCTTAGATCGGAAGTTACAGCCTTCTGAAGTTGGCCCTAGAAAACTGTCGCGGGCGCGGGGTTGCTGCAGCTCCAAAAATGCCGTATTTGGGCAGTAAGCACCCGCGGTTGTCCCGAGGGCTCCCCGAGGGCGCGGGCCTTAGCCCCGCGGGCGCGGGCTTGGGCCGCGGGCGTGGTTATCGGGGTGTCCGTTCCCCTCCGCGGGCGCGGGTTTCTTGGTCTTTTACGATTTTAAGCTTCTTTTCTCCTTTTGTTTATATAGTTTTTGGTTTCCTTTATTCTTTATTCATGTAATTCTTTAGTTTTAGAATAGTTTTCTCTCTCTTAAGTTGAGAGCTTCTCTCTCTAGATTAGGCTAGATTAGGAGTAGTTTTAGAGAGTGAAAGTGAGGAATTTCAATGGTGATTGAGAGATTGAAGATGCAAGTGTGACAATTATGTTGGAGATCTTCTAAATTATCAATTAGCATTTCTAAACTTTATCTCATTCAATTGCTTTGTTTAATTTGATGTTTGTTTGGTTTGATTTTGATATTTGATGTTTGATTAGAGTAATTGTTCTTGATATTTTGTTGATTCTTGTTCTCTATAGTTGATAGCTGATTTGGTGATGTTGTTTGAGTAATTGTTGGCTAGGAATTGGGTGAAACTTGTATGATTGATTAATTGTGATTAATTTTGGAATTTTGTTGATTAATTGTTGAGATGAAAGTGATTAATGAAGGTTTGCATGTGTGTAATTCAATTAGGCCTTGAGAATTATGCTAGATGGCATTGTAATTGCTAATGACATGAACAATTGATTTAGGAATTGCAATTATCAATTGGTTTTGATTGTTATTCTCTTAGTTATTTATTCATAGTGAACCCTAGCTTAACAATTAGGAGATAGCTCTTTGATTCCTATTGATTGCTCTTATCATTTAGTCCTCACAACATTTGATTGGCATGCTCTTCCCAAGTTTTTGCAATTGACATGATTACTTGTTGATCCCCGTTCCTAGTGTTTTATTTCCTTGGTTACTTGTTTTGCTAGTTGTTAGTATTCTCTCTTACCTTCATCTTCGACCTAATTTAGGTGCATAATTGAAAGTGCTTGAACATTACCGTTCCTTTGGGCTCGACCCTTGACTTGCCTCTATAATCGTATTTAGGTTTGTTAAGTGTTTATAAATTTAGTTTGATCGAGGGAAGATTAGATAACGACCTAGTTTTCCCCTCGTCAGCCACCAGGCCACGCGACCGCGCCATAGCCGCGCGTGCCCGCGCCTGGGAACAGGGAAGCCATCTTGCCTATCATGCCGATGCTCCTCGTGTGTTCCACTTAATGCTCTTAAAAAACACGGGACCTTGCAGTTTCTAAACTCCATGTTTGCGGGTTCAACACTAGAAATCATGCCCCCATAGCTTGAATGCATAGGTCAAGGACATTGTGAACTTGCACTTCTCCATGCTTGAGCTTTAAATGGAGAACACTAGACATTTTAATCGATGCCAACTTGGGAAGAGGCCTCGGGAATTTTGGGTAACGACCTTAACCTGAAAATTAAAGGAAAACAAGCAAATAAAAGAGAAAATAACAAAATAAACCAAGAAATGCATAAAGAAATAAATCTAACAAAGAAAATGCAAACTAAAAGAAATAAAGAGTAAAAATAAGGAAAAGCTAAGTAAAAGAGCTATTTGAATAGCATGAAATTCACCTTAAAAAGAACCAAATGAGTGCCATAAATGACACTCATCACAGTGGAACTCACTTTCATGCAGAATGTGAAGAATTGTTACAAATATATGGTATTCAACACCATCATTCCTCCCCTTACAGACCTCAAGCAAATGCAGCAGTTGAGGCGGCTAATAAAAATGTCACGGTCCGCGAGTTTGGACCCCGAAACGTGCGGCGCGCTCTAGCCTTGAGCGGAAGAGAGGCTTGTGAGCACAAAGAAACACAAGCGGGCAATAGAATCTCAGGAGCACTCACGTCTATCTGGGCGACGGAGTGCGAGTGGTCGGGGCTTGTGACGGCCGATACTTCAAAGCGGGCACAAGCGGGTCCGAACCACGAGTCCTTAGAGCATCAATTTGGGTTGGAGGGGAGCTAATATGCAAGTAAGACACAATATCTATAAAGGTCTAACAACAAACAAGCATAAAAGCAAGGCAACACTTGGTAGAGATCTAAAGAATATTCTCGAGAAAATGACAGAAAACTACAAGGATTGGCCTAAAAAACTCCATTTCGCACTTTGGAGTTATCGCACATCAATTCGCACATCAATAGGAAATACGCCATTCTCCTTGGTTTATGGAATGGATGTCGTACAACCTGTAGAACTAGAGATACCTTCTCTACGCATTGCATTAGAAAGCAAACTCGATGAAGTTGAATGGACTAGAGCAAGAAACGAGGAGCTAATTCTACTCGATGAAAGGCGATAAGAAGCTCTACATCATACCCAATGCTATCAAACTCGTATTGCTAGGCACTTTAATAAGAAGGTCCAGACAAGAAACATCAAAGTAGGAGACTTCGTTTTAAAAGCTTTAAGGAAAAATGTTTTGGATCCATGAGGCAAATTTAGGCCTAATTGTTCCGGACCATATATCGTTGAAACCATTCTATCAGGAGGTGCAGCAAAACTAACTGATATGGATGGCAATGAATTCTTAAACATAACGAACCTTGACCAACTTAAAAGTACTACCCATAATTACTTGAGTAGGACACTCAAGAGAGCTACGTTTTTCCTGATTCCTTAGGAAAGGATACGTAGGCAATCCTTTACATGGTGCGGCCTCTTTAATTTTCGCTAACCTCGCATCCCAGCATCAATAAAAATTTGACACAATGACAGCGCCACAAAAAGAAGTCTGTCGCCGAACGGCAGACTGCAGCACAAGGCGACAAAGCCTGTCACTTGGCGACAGACATCAACGTCTTGCGACAAACGAAAAATAGTGGCGCCGGTTTTCTGCGAATATCTGTGAAAAATTCGGTGTATTTCGGAAAATTTCCGACTTCCGTACTCGAGAAAATTTCTAGAAAATAATTTAAGTTGTTTCATTGCTTTAATAAAATTAAATAAAAAAGTTGATTAATTAAAAAGCTGAAATTGCATTAATAAAATAAAGAAAAAAATTACATTATTGATGGAATTAAAATAAAAGCTTATAAAATAAATTGACTTAAATTTAAACTAATCTAATAAATTAGAAGTTAAGCAATGCTTCAATCTTTCTTCTCTTTCTTTTCCCATTTCCAATTTCTATTTGCATCCTCTTCATCATCCATGACTTTGGCTAGTAGGCATCCTTTAGAGGACCTACATTCAATTTTAGAGTAAATTGTTTATCCCTTAGCTAGGACTCCATGCTTCTTTTCTACTCAAACCTTCTTTTCTGAAGTGTCAGCTTTTCTTTTCCCTTTACCCTTAGTAGTGTCTTTCATCTTAGGTGTCACAGGTGATTTAATTTCAACTTTTTCACCAAAGTGTTCCTTAACAGGAATTACTTTGTCACCTAGACGACTCTTCACATTGGATCTACTCCATGTTTTCTTCATGTCCTTTGTAGGCTTGTTAAGAAGCCAATTCTTCACATTAATGGGTAAGGAAGGAGGAACCTTTTGGGTAATCACTTCCCATAAAGGCCTAGCACTCCAATATGTGTCAAACTTCTCTACTTCTTGTGAAATAAGGAATTCATAGGGACGAAGGAGATCCCCTGAAGGAATTGTTTAAAGTAGACCGTACTGCCTTTTTACCCTGCAGGGATAATAAAAAGTAATCTTGGTTAAGCTTGGAAGACGGCAAAAGGGTTGCTTGTTGACACCAACCATCTTCTCAATTATCCACCATGGGATGACCCACTTGATAGCAAAGTTGCAAGAGGCAAAAATTTTACTCCACTCACGGCGACCCATCTTAGAGAAACGCTTCTTTCGCCTCACAAAGCAATAGGGAGTGTATTTTTCAATGTTGTCAGGAGGACTAATTAATTCTAGTCTCTTTATTAGCCATATCTGCAAAAAAAAAATTCAATGCAAATAATTAGTATTACTATACAAAAATATATTTTTTATTTCTGTAATGAAAAATATTATTTTTCTACCTGTAATAAAATTAGAGAGCCCAGAAAAGGTGCTTTTGGATTCTTCTTTAATTCATCTAGACTATGCATAATCTCTCCAACAATTAATGGCATTGGATTCCTTCCAAATTTAACTTTCTCCAAGACAGATAATATGATTGCTTGACCCTCATTAGTTCTACCACTAGTGAGATGATATTAGTTAAGCATGCAAAAGAGAAAATCCCTTCTTCTATAAACATTAAAAGACTTAGAATAAGGTCTATCAAAGTAGTGGCGTGCAAATTCTTTTAGGTTAACTACACTACCATCTAAAATATTTGTTAGATCTCTGTCTTTTAAATTAAAGAAGCTCTCAAAATCTTTGTAATAATACATATTCACTCTAGGAATTACCGCAAGATCTAATGAAGGGAAGCCTAGGATGGCACCAAATTCTTCCGATAAAGGGCTAATTTCATCACAACCTAGTCTAAAGCAATGTGTATCTGTATCCCAATATTCTAAGGTGGTATGAATAAAATCTATGTCAAGATCTACCCCCTTATTACCATAAATACCTCCCATGTGAAAAAGTCAAATTCTTTTCTCTCTTTAGCAGTTATAGACTAACACCATTCACGAGTAAAATTGCTAAAACTCTTAGTGACTAAAGACATGATTATTTGCTGAGAAGCTAAGATTATAATTAATCTGATCGAATTATACAGAAAATCGACAGATTAAGGGGGCTATTTATGTGCAAAATTGGTGCAGTTCGACTCCTGAAAGGATTCGGAGGCAGCGCACTGCAGCGCCAGACGACAAGCTTGTCGCCTGGCAACAGAAGCAGCGCTCGGCGACAGAGTGAAACGCGTGGCGACATGAAACGTTGCAGCGCCACCTCAGCGTGCTATGCAAACCGCTTTTGTAACTATGATTTGAATTCGTATAATGACTTTACAATTTTTCCCTTTATGCAATTACCCCATACAAATTAATTAAATATATTTTCCTTCCTTTTTTTTTTGGGTTTATTCAAGCTTAATTAAATTTAGGTTTGTTTTAAGTCCGATTTATTTTTCATAAAAGTCGGATACCCTCCATTAGTAATAAAAATGACAAAAAATTTTGCGCAAATTTAATGAAATTTTTTTTGCACACACACATATGCACATAAAATGAAAAATAAATGCAAAGATAAAGCTGTCATAATCGATAATAGTTTGTATATACAAATATGTCTAATAAATGAGTTAATTGGAAATGTCCTACAAAAGTCAAAATAAAATAAACACAGGAACATCTATGGTGCTGGAGGGCGCAGATAATGAGGAATGTTTATCATGTCGAAGAACATCGCAGACCAAGGAGTATGCTCCTCACCAGCTCCGGACTCGCCAAGATTCGAAAACCTTATGTCGGGACCAGTCCACCCAGGCATACCCTGGTGATGAATCAGCAAGGGCTTAGGCTACGGAGGCTGTTGCGACGACGAGTTAATCTCGTACAACTCACCACCTATTAGAGGAGCCGATGTCTCCTCTCCTTGGCCTATTGGCCAAGTCCATGCACCTTAGGGAAGGAACACGAGCCCTCCACTGCCTCGGTCTGAGTAGCGTCATATCTGCCATCTCGGCCACCAGAAGTAGTGCGGCGACGCCTCGAGCCAGACCTAGACGACTCCCTCCTAGCCTCGGGTCTTGTCCGAGTACGTGAAGGAATAGGCTGTCCTTGCAAAATTTAATCAAGTTAGATACAAAGTAAACAGAAGGATACACAATGCAAAAATAAAGAGGAAAAAGTTACCTCCTCAGCAGCGTAGTCACGACGACAGTAAGCTACGTTCCTCATCCTCACTAGCTGGCTTCGAAAGGCATCTACGCACCTCGCCATCGCCGTCACCACCTCGCGCGAGAACTGTCTCAAAACAAAAAAAGTAAAAATACAAGATAAGTATAACAAATAGCAAGCAAATAACTCATCCGAGTCTGGTGACGAGGGATGGATCGCTCTACGAAGCGCTGATCCTCAAGAGCCGGAGGAATCATCTCCTCAACAGGGCTGTATGTCCCTTGATAGCTGATGGACATTCGGGGAGGAGCGAACTCAGTAGGCTTAGCCTGGCAAAAAGAAAATTTAAATGAATAAACACCACTTGGCCAGAGCTAACAACAGTAGCAAGTCCTCTTTGTAACACCGCCCTAAGCTAGCATGACATCGCTAAGAGGTACCAGCAAGTGACCTCTCCGCCAAGTTGATCAACATCGCGTCATGGAACATGTGGCGAGGCGGAGGACCAGGGACGCCAAAGATCTCCGAAGAGCGCTGAATAGCAACTCTCTCACCAAGGTACACCCCCGCCTCGTATGTCCCCTGAATGTAGTGATGCTCAGCTGTATATTGCGCAGCTAGCGTAGGAATAACCAGACCGGCCTATGGCCGATACACCACGTCAGGCTCCTGCAACATACAGATGTAAGGTAAAACTCTATCATACGGCATTGCAAAAATGACAACCGTTTGAAAAGAACATACTGAGAGGATCAGCTCTCTGACATGGGTAGTGACCGCCCGATCACTAATGCGACCTCCCCAACAGGCGCCAATAGGGAGCTCGTGAGGAGATGGTCTCGCTGGCACAAGCGACGGAAAGTGCTCATAGAACCAGATCTACAAAGACAAAAGAATGTCAACGAATGTTAATAAAGATCTAGAGCTAACTTTTAAAGAGATAAAGTATACCTCTACGATTCTCCTGAAGCTAGAGAGTGTGATGTTTCCTGTGAAAGATCTGTGGTAATAGGAATCTCGCAAGCCCCGTAAAAAGTAAGCATAGGCCTAGCTGGGCTAATCATAAGTCCCGATCAGTTGAAGATCACGGAGAGCAAGAAGGTAATAGAGAAGCACCCGACTATCCTAGTCCGGGGAAAAGGTCCATTACAGCAAGATAAGTACGAAGATGCGCACCCACTGCACTCTGGTGGTCGCATCATCCTCAAAATCCATCTCTAGAGTCGACCGACGAATGCACCGAGAGCTAACTCGTGCTGGCTCCACCTCGGCACGGGCCCGAACAACGATCGGACCCAACAACTCCTTGACTATCAGAGAAAAACTAGTAATAATACTATCGAATGGCAGCGCAGTCGAGCGATACTCCAGTCCCGAGATGGGACTGAAGTCGGCTGGGGTGACAGTCATCTCACCCCAGGAAAAGTGAAAGGTGTCGGTGGTGTCTTAGAAGAACTCCACCAAAGCACGAACCACATGGTGGCTTTCATCAAACGAGTACATGGCGTAAGTAGCCCGAAACAGGGCAGTCAGCCCACAGGATTCCTAAAGCCGTCGCCGGTCCTCATAATCGCGAAAAAAACAATCGTTTAGGTTGCCGATGGACTCGTTGCCTGAATCATGGCTACGCGTCCTCCTACTAATAATCCCGTGATGCACCCTCTCAAAAATGTGGTGATCGGGAGCGAAAAACAATGTCCGCTCATCCCACTCAGGGAAGGGACCGAGAGAAGTGGACGGATCCTCGTCCTCCTGCACTGGCTCGTGCTCCCGTCGAGTGTCTCGAGACCATATTACATTTTGCAAAATTGACAAAAATTATAGCTCTATAGTATCTAAGGTTCGCCTAGCCGCATCATACTATGTGCGCAAAAAACAGAGTATGTAGTACTAAAAAAGAGCACGATTTCAATTCAAGCATATATGGCATTTTTCAAGCAATCAAAAAATTTCTTGCAATATTATGACAATTATTTTGACAAATTGGACAAGAATTGCTAGAAAAAACGCAAAGAATAACCCACATGGTGAACTGCTCATTTCCCCACCAAATTGAGTCAAAAAAGTCTCAAAATACTCCCAAGCCAATATACAAACATAATCAAGCAATTTCATAGCATAAAATTCGACAAACAAAATAAATTGAGCAATTTATATTTAAAATTTTCAGAAAATTCGAGAATTAGCATGCAAAAATTCAGCAAAATTCGAGTGAGTTTAGAGAAAAGTTTCATAGATAAGAAAACTAGAAGAACTAAGCTTTAATTTGCTAAAAGTTTGAGTGAATTTGGTTGAGAAATGAGCGAAAACGAGTGATTTAAAGTTTTATGGTGAATTGCGAACAAGAATAGCAGCAGACGCGAAAATGAGGAAGAAAAGGGTTTTATTCGGAAAACCTGAGTGCAACGTCGCATGATCAATTTGCCGTGCGACAGTGGCTGTCGCTGGGCGCAGAAAGGAATTGCGGCGACTGCAACTTCCGGCTACCGCTGAAGCGGGGACAAAGTATGAGGCCTCGTAATATGATTGTTTGGACCTTGTGCAGCAAATTGGGTTCCTTGGTACGCCAGTTAGCCACTCTAAGCAATTTGACATGATTTAGTAATCGGCTCGATTACAATCACATTAAGTGATCGACCTGATAAATGATCGTCTCACTTAGCTTAACCTAAAAATTGACTCATTGCAAAGGCACCGACATAATGGTTCATAAACAACAAAGGCACTGATATAATGGTTCCCAAGCAATAGAAGCACCGACATTTTGGTTCACAAGCAGCAAAAGCGCTGACGCACTGGCTTAGCGGAAGCAAAGTTCAAGAAAACTTTTAAAGGATCGACAAGCGTTGATCTTCAATGATATTCTTCGGAATATTATCACAACAGATGAGGATGACTTCAACCAATGATATCTTCGACAACGTTCCCTAGCTTGCGGAGGGTTGTCACAAACAGCTGGAGGTGATTTCAGGCGGAGTTATCTTCGATTATATTCCCTAGCTTGTGGAAGATGGTCATAAGGAAAATGAAGATCGTTTAAAGCGAAGTATTCTTCGATAGAATTCTCTAGCTTGCTGAAGACTTCACAAAGGAAATGAAGGCAGTTACAAGCGTAACGGTCTTCAGGCTGTATCCCCTAGCTTGAGGAGGATTGTTAAAGCAACAGGATAGCGTTCCCTAGCTTGTGGAAGGTTGTCACAACAATGCAAAAAGTTGGTTACCTTTAGAGACATGTGCTTGACGGTGCAAGATTCGCGTTTCTTAACTCTTATATCTATTTAACTTACGATAGTTTGCAGGTATCGGCGTTACAAGAGTGATTAAGGATTGCGGAACGTTATGAATCATTCTCTGTCCCTATCGCTACTTTGACTTTTGTTTTCGAAACTTGCGTTTCTCCAAACTATGTCAAAGTGGGGGCTTCTGTAGACACCCAATTGTGTCTCCCCAAAACCAAACCCGATGATGAATACCTTTCACGTTGAATCATAGTCGAATGAAGTGAAAGTGTGAAAAGTCTAGTGTTGCGGTTAGTTTTTAATAAAATTCTTTCCTTTTGTTTTCGAAAACCTATTCTATTTTATGAAAAATCCAATCCAGTTTATTGTGGTCCATGAAAAGGGACCTATAATAGTGTAGTTGGATTGGGCTCGAAAAGAGCTTTCCAACGATATATCATAAGCCCAATTCCGATGAATAATGAGGAAGTTGTGGCAAAATTACTAAACTGGACCCGGTTTGATCTTTATATGCGGCTCAATGATCTAAAGGATGACCTAGTATGAATTGTCACTCCTAATGCAATTAGGATTGATTATAGTCTTCTAGAACTTTTTAGAATGTTCTTTTGAATCCATAAGTGATTAGGATTGATAATTAAGTTTTATGAGTTTTATTTGGAATAAAAGAAGTGTTTTAAATGAAATTATGATTTTACCCCTCGTACGGACTTTTACGATTTAATTTTATCAAAAAATAGAAAACATGTGGAAAAATCGCCTGCAGGCGACAGGGGCTGTTGTGGCGACAACGACGTGTTTTATTCCTTTCCAAACTCTGATTCTTTTTTATCAAATCCGGACTATTTTCATTATAAATAGCGTCCTTAGACCTCAATTTTTTATCACCATCTCTCATCATGAAATTTTTGATATTTTCTCTCTTTTCTAAACCAACTTTTTACAAACAAAATTCCGCCTTCACAAGATCTAGACACACCTAGCCAAATTCGAAGTTGCCTTCGCCCTAAACGTGAAAGGTTTTGTATTTATGAGGGTTTGGTCCCAAATCTCTGTTTCAATTAAATTATTTAATTCTTTAATTTCCATATTTTCCTTGAAGTTACTAACGCGTGTATTTTATTATTAGAAAGAGGTACGTGGCATCCAAGTAAGTGCTTTAATTGATTTATTGATATTATGATATAGAAATCATGTTTTGATTGTTATTTTGATTCCAAGTATCATGTTAGGATGTTTCATTGCTTCTTAGTATCATGTTTAGGGTAACAACTACAAATTCCTAATATCAAATATGATTTAAAGAATGCTTCCTATTCTCTTTCCTAATAGCATGTTAGTATCATGTTAGGGTTAAAGTTTTGATCTTTATTGTTTAGTGACATTCTAGGGTTTGTTATTAATCTGGTTAGTATCATGCCTAGGATCTTGCTATATATTATTATGCTTTAACACGATATTTTTAATTGTTTATGATGATGATTATTTTTAAGTTGCTTGATATATTAATTTTTATTGCTTGATCACTCCTCTTATGCATGTTTAAAGGGAATTGGTACTTGTAATCACGCTTAATAAGATAATTAATAATTATGTTTTGGTTAATTTTATTATAATTCAAGTGATCGCCAACAATAGATTTATTTGTGCATTAATATTCAACCAACATAGATAAACAGGTTTAGGGTAAACCTATTGATTGCATTTTAGTCAGAAAGCGCACATGAATACGAGAAGAATAAAGTAGAGGCATATTATTAGAGCGAGTTCTTTCTCTTTTAGATTGGATTTGTACCTTCATCCCTGAACTTCCAGTCATGGTTCCAGACCTACTGGAGTTGACGATCTCATGGATCATTAAGGGGTGTAACCTTTACCCTGTGAACGGTTTACAAGTTCCTAAAACTTGTTAGTGACTCTTTTGCTCTAGCTTCCTTCCCTTTGGATGCCACCGTACTTTAGTGTATGATCACAGTGGGGTTAAGTTTGGGGTAATGCTTGAAATATTCCCTACACTTACTATTCGTGCTAAATATCCCTTAAACTCTACTTGGGAGAAAGACATGAACGAAGTTTATGAGTTTTCCTAA